CAGAACACGCTGCTCGTACTATAAAATGGATGATTATGTTAACCAACTAGCCAAGGTTTTCAGATAGTTTTCACTAGGTTGCTGTCACTACTAGCTTTCATCTTTGGAAAAACAGATCCCCACTGTTTTTCCTTCTCACCATCCAACCACATGTGCACGATGAATTCGCAGAAAGAAAATGATACAACAGCATTATTAATGGAATGCAGAGTTATCCCATCTTGACCCAGGACATAGCATAAAAGTTTGAGACTTTCTTACAAATACATGTGTTTATGGAAAGATATGACTTTTTTGAGTCCAACTCAGGTCATATGGCATTGTAATGAGCAAAGGTCCAGTTTTCTGAAGAAATAGATGACATATTTGAACTGCATATTACAAATCACCAGTCACAGAAGACAATGACTAGATATCATGCCAGACAACCACCTCACATTTGCAACAAATGATACCATCTGTGACAACAAACAGCACACTGCAAAATAAAGCTAAACACCGTGTGAACGGGAAAAAAGACCATGTTCTGGATGTGTTGGATATCCACAAGGCATTATCTGATTGTTATAGAGACAATATATCTATACACATTTTTCTACATGTTTATCAGAAAAGAGTTCTTATTCTTTAGTAGGAGATGGGCAAAGTGGAAGAATGCTGTATTTTGGTATAGATTTCAGTCCTGACAGGCTTGTACCTTTAAAACAGTTACAAGACATCAAACATGTGATGTTTCTCTAAAAAGGGACCTGCCTCACCTTCAGTTGTTCTCAGTTTTGTGCTTCTTCAGTCAATCAGCAATGTGTCTGTGCAATATCATCAGTAAGCACAGAACCTGACTATGTGTAAGTCTGTGATATTGGAGCTGTGTAAATAGTTAATGCTGTTAATAACTTAAAGACATCTATCCAAATAAGCGCTTGATTCTTTTTGGTGTATGTCACACAGACTAACATATTAAAAAAACACAACGTATATCAATATCTACTCTATTCAGACCCGTCATGATCTTCAGTTTCTACCAAATCTTCTAAGAAGAACTGCCCCAGCTTTGCCAACCAAATCTCTGGTTCCTGGAACAACCCCCTGAATTTTTTCTTTCTAGTTACCCTTTCTAAATGTTCTCAAATCTTATCTGAAGTGAATTGCAGTGCCCAGAACTGGACACACTGTTTCAAGTGAGGCCAAACCAGCATTTTATAAAGATTCACAGTGCCATCCCTACTTTTCAGCTGTATGCCCTTATTTATGAAGTTTAGGAATCCACGTGGTCTTAACCTGCCCTCCTATTTCTGATAATTTGTACTGTCAAATATTTCCAGGTCTCTCTGCTCCTGTTCCCCCTTTGGAATTGTATCCTTTAATATCAATTGCCTATCCTCTTTCTTCCTAATACATAAAATATTTTCTACATTAAATTTTATTTGCCATATGTCTATCTACTCCACCAGCTTCAAGTTTACTATCCTCCTTACAGCTTGCAATATTTCTAAATTCTGTGTCAAAGTAGTAACTAAATTGTTAAGACATTATTAGTTGTATAGTCTGTATATAATTATTTTGATCCCTAATATTATTGACAATTCTGTAACGTAAAGCATATTGAAATGCTCCCTAATGGTGATAGAAATCCACACAAAGAGCAGAACAAATTGGAATAAAGCACATTAAGTTCCATATAATTGTCAACATTAAAATGCCATATACAGAGGCGGTGGATGCTAGCTGTCTATTTCTATGACAATTCCTAACAAAACTATTCACATTTGAAATTGATAATTATGAAATAAACAATCATCACTCCAGTTTCACAAACTCAGCAGCTCAAAGAAGGCCATTAAGCATCCATGTGCTTTTCAGCATAAAATACTCTAGTATTTGGTGAACAGAAATGGAACAGCAGCATGAGACAAATTATAATTCCTACATTTGGTCCATCATTTTTGAAAAAAACTTCTTTGCATTATGAATAAAACTTAAACTTAGGTAAATTTACATAAACTACCATTAACAGATTTCCTACAAGACACCCAAACCAAATATATTCTTCCAAATTAGACCACAGTAACATACACTTATTCCAAGACAAATCTAATGGGCGAGTTAACAAAAGTTTTCTCCGTGTAAGAGAGATAGTAGGAACTGCTGATGCTGGAGAATCTGAGATGACAAGGTGTAGAGCTGGATTAATGCTGCTAATAACTTAAAGACGTCAGAGGAGCCGGAAAGCTGACGTTTCGGGTTGACACCCTTCTTCAGAAATGGGGGAGGGGAAGGGGATTCTGAAATAAATAGGGAGAGAGGGGGAGGCGGATAGAAGATGGATAAAGGAGAAGATAGGTGGAGAGGAGACAGACAGGTCAAAGAGGCGGGGTTGGAGCCAGTAAAGGTGAATGTAGGTGGGGAGTTAGGGAGGGGATAGGTCGGTCCAGAGAGGACGGACAGGTCAAGGGGGCGGGATGAGGTTAGTAGGTAGGAGATGGGGGTGGGGCTTGAGATGGGAGGAATAGTTAGGGAGGCGGGGACCAGCTGGGCTGGTTTTGGGATGTGGTCGGGGTAGGGGAGATTTTGAAGCTTGTGAAGTTCACATTGATACCATTGGGCTGCAGGGTTCCCAAGCGAAATATGAGTTGCTGTTCCTGCAACCTTCGGGTGGCATCATTGTGGCAATGCAGGAGGCCCAGGATGGTCATATTGTCCAAGGAGTGGGAGGGGGAGTTGAAATGGTTCGCAACTGGGAGGTGTAGTTGTTTGTTGTGAACCAAGTGTAGGTGTTCCACAAAGCGGTCCCCAAGCCTCCGCTTGGTTTCCCCGATGTACAGGGGGCCACAACGGGAACAGCGGATACAGTATACCACATTAGCAGATGTGCAGGTGAACATCTGTTTGATGTGGAAGGTCTTCTTGGGGCCTGGGATGGGGATGAGGGAGGTGGTGTGGGGGCAGGTTTGGCACTTCCTGTGGTTGCAGGGAAAAGTGCCGGGGGTGGTGGGGCTGGTGGGGAGTGCGGAGCAGACGAGGGAGTCACGGAGAGACTGGTCCCTCTGGAAAGCAGATAAGGGTGGGGAGGGAAAAATGTCTTGGTAGCAGGGTCAGATTGCAGATGGCGGAAGTGTCGGAGGATGATGCGTTGGATCCGGAGGTTGGTGGGGTGGTATGTGAGGATGAGGGGGATTCTGTTTTGGTTGTTATTGCGGGTAGGAGGTGTGAGGGATGAGTTGCAGGAAATGCGAGAGACACGGTCGAGGGCGTTTTCGACCATTGTGGAGGGGAAGTTGTGGTCCTTGAAAAACGAGGACATCTGGGATGTCCGGGAGTGGAATGCCTCATCTCGGGAGCAGATGTGGCAGAGGCAAAGGAATTGGGAATAGGGGATGGCCTTTTTGCAGGAAGGTGGGTGAGAGGAGGTGTATTCTAGGTAGCTGTGGGAGTCGGTAGGCTTGAAATGGATATCGGTTTCCAGGTGGATGCCAAAGATGGAGACAGAGAGGTCCAGGAAGGAGAGAGAGGTATCAGAGATGGTCCAGGTGAACTTAAGGTTGGGGTGGAAGGTGTTAGTGAAGTGGATGAACTGTTCGAGCTCCTTGTGGAGCACGAGGCGGCGCCAATACAGTCATCGATGTAACGGAGGAAGAAGTGTAACGGGATAGGGCCAGTGTAGCTTTGGAAGAGGGATTGTTCCACGTATCCTACAAAGAGGCAGGCATAGCTTGGGCCCATGCGGGTACCTATGGCCACCCCCTTTGTCTGTAGGAAGTGGGAGGAATTGAAGGAGAAGTTGTTAAGGGTGAGGACGAGTTCAGCTAAGCAGATGAGGGTGTCAGTGGAGGGGGACTGGTCGGGCCTGCAGGACAGGAAGAAGTGGAGGGCCTTTAGGCCATCTGCATGGTAACGATGAGGTGTTGGGGACCAGGGAATTGGAAGTTTTGGAGGAGGTGGAGGGCGTGGGTGGTGTCATGGACGTAGGTGGGGAGTTCCTGGACCAAGGGGGAGAAAATGGAGTCTAGATAACTGGAGATGAGTTCGGTGGGGCAGGAGCAGGCAGAGACAATGGGTCGTCCAGGGCAGTCTGGTTTGTGGATTTTGGGAAGGAGATAGAAACGGGCGGTGCAGGGTTGGGGCTCGATGAGGTTGGAGGCTGTGGGTGGGAGGTCACCTTAAGTGATGAGGTTGTGGATGGTTTGGGAGATGATGTTTTGGTGGTCGGGGGTGGGGTCATGATCAAGGAGGCGGTAGGAGGAGGTGTCAGAGAGCTGGCGTCTGGCCTCGGCGATGTAAAGGTCAATTCGCCATACTACAACTGCTCCTCCCTTGTCCGCGGGTTTTATGGTGAGGTTAGGGTTGGAGCGGAGGGCTGCATGTTCTGTGGGAGAGAGCCTGGAGTGGGTGAGAGGGGTGGAGAGGTTGAGGCGATCGATGCCGCGACGGCAGTTGGAGATGAAGAGGTCGAGGGAGGGTAGGAGGCCTTGGGGTGGTGCCCAGGAGGATGGGGTGTGTTGGAGGCAGGAGAAAGGGTCAGTAGGGGGAGGGTTAGGCTCACAATTAAAGAAGTAAGCGCGGAGGCGGCGGAAAAACTGTAACCGTGAGTTGTATTCGTCGATGTTTGGGTGGAGGGGGACAAAGGTGAGCCCTTTACTGAGGACTGACCGTTCGTCCTCAGTAAGGGGAGGTCTGGGGGGATGGTGAAGACTCGGCAGGGTTGGGTGCTACTGTCTCCTTTGGAGCTGCTGGCTGTGTGGGTGGTGGGCAGAGCGACGTCAGCATCGGTGTGAGTTGTAAGTCTCTGTGTAAGTTGCTTAAAGCTTTAAAACAGTTCACAGGTAATTTGGCTACGGTAAATGTATTAAACTAAACATTTAAGTTAGTCATAAGTTTTGCTTCTGCATCTGCTCAAGGTTGTACTTAGCTGTTTACTAAGTGTAATAACCATCCTGTACTATTCAATAGGGGTAACAACAGTTTGTTTTCATACAGACGTATTTCCTGTCTCTGGAAATTACCTCACATTTGCTGCGTAGGCCTGTCTCTTGGAGTCGGGACCAGATACTCTGGATTCTGCCCGCATGTTCTGGATGGCTGTTTGTATTTCCACAGGTACAGTGATGTTTTAGCATCAGTGTATCATATACAAGACCTGTTACAAGAGTTAAAAGAAAGCAGTCAAGAAACAATATACCAGAAACACGAACAACAAGTGTCAAATGAATATGTTAAAAATGAAACTAAAAGTTACCACAGGGTTTGGGTCTGCAACAAGAAATTGTTATTTGTTAAAATACATGCTTTGTTCAAGAACGACGTTCACAGACTCTCAACATATTTCCTTCGGTTCACTCGTTTTAAGTGTAAATGATCATTAATTAAGGAAGAACTATTACTAATGACAGAACTGTCTATCCACTACCAAGCAAGCAGCCAACTACAGAAAGTGCCATTCTATCTGGTTTACTACAGAAGAACCCTCAGGAAGTGGAAAATCCCTTCAGAGAGTGAGAAGAATCTTAGGACATGTTGATACTAAATCTAAGCATACATATGACTTATACACTGGTCACACCCAGTTTGTTTATAAACTCCAATAGCCCTCATGTAAATAAAAAAGTCTAGTCAGAGTTTAACATAGAATAATCTGAGTTATTTCTCTGGTTATCCACTACATTGATATATGAAATACTATTTCAGTGATATTGGTGCCATTTAAGCTTGAGAAACTGTCTAATGTTTTCTAAATTGTTGGAAAAATATTCTCAGAATCTGTTGCAGAATCCCTGCAACATTCCCAGTTCAGAGTGAATAAATAATAATCTGTATTTATATTTAGGAAATGATTTGCACAAGAAACACTGGGCATCCACAAGAACTCAAATGCATGGACAACTTAGTTGAAAAGGTACGCACCCACAATGCTAAACACATATTATCCTACGTTCATATCAAGTTCAGTAGATTATACTTAGCTATAAACTAGCAACTAGATCAATACTTCTACCACACAAAGCTTCCATCTTAATGAGGAATGATAGTTGAATTATATCATGGGGGAAACTTGCAACAATTAATGAAGGAGGGTCTTTGATGTAAGATTACAGCTCACAGCCAAGGAGATATGATGCACAATTTTAGCTTGAAGTAAGTAATGGGTTTTGAGTGAGTTACAATCTCAACCATCATCTTAGAGAAATGACCACTTCAGGAATGGACCAGAAGATACAGTAGAAAAGTCTAAAGCACACGAAAATCCAAGGACAATTCTACATAGTGTAGGGAACTAGGTCTATCCAGGCAGATGGTGTTTTTTCAGCATTGGAGGAATTTTCACCACTGGATTCAAGATCCAGGAGATGAGTATGGCAAATGATCAAAACAAGACTGACTCTATCTCCACAATGATTTATTGTAGTAGTCTTCTGTTATGAACTCAATTAATGGGAACACTGGATAAGTCAGATCCCAAAGTGAAACCTGGCTCGACAGAGTTTTGTTTTTTGCAATTTGTTAACTGTGGTGGACAGTCACTTGTGAAAATGTTCAATGTTTTTTTCACAAAAGAAAATCAAAGTTTATTACAGACAAAGGAGAAAAAAAACCTATTATATAACAATCATTTGAAGTGATCTTATTACAAATGTCAGAAATAAAGCTTCAAACATTTACTCTTATCAACCTTACAGATACTAAACCTCAGTGAGGGGGCCATCATGTTTCCACTTTAAATCCACTTCATTGTTCGTAGATGCAGATGCGATTAATTTTGTTTCAACGTATTTCTTCACTTACTCGATGCTATTTGTTTAGTTAATGTCTCTTCCTGAGACCCTTAAACAAACTACTAGTACAAGTCTTCCACAGTGTTCTATTTCTGGAACTTATCCTTCACTGACAATAAGCCAGTTGAGACTTCTTGTCTTCAGCCCTGACAGTTTTGGAGACTGCTAAACTGCACTGCTGATCTTACAAGCCTTTTCAGTTTGAAAGACCTCTCTGTCTCTCAAAGAACGCTGTACATTCACTAAACTTCTGGGCCGTTCTGTCTTTCATTCTAAAAAGAAAATTGTTTCTGTCTCCATCTCTGGGTGTCATAGAGGATCTTGTTGCTAGGCAACAGCTCAATTCTTTTTCTCTCTTTATTCTAAAGCACTGAGCTACTCCCTCAAAGGTTCTTTATTTTAAAAGCCTCAATTAAATGCATACAAACAAATTTCTACACAGCCCTCACCACACTCAGAACTCAAATGTAAAACTGAACTAAATCCATGTTTTATTCTTCTTAACAAACACAATATAGAAATACAAATAAATTTAAAACCATATATTCATTTTAAAATTCATGTTTCATCTTCATAATAATAACATATTGTGAACATTCATTACATGTCTTAGTAGTATTGATGAGCAAGACATGGTAAGGACCATGGTAAAGGTAGAAAGGATTTTCCATTTCACAGGTCCTCCCTGCTGTCAAGGAAACAACACATTGAGATTTTTAAGAGCATTTCTATCTAGGTTAGGTGTTTGGGCAATTGCTAATGATGGTGATTGGAGAATATGCAAGAAGCTGCTGTCAGAATGATAGTGTGTTCAGGGACGCTCTTATTAAAAATGTAAATCGTGCTTTGGCCAACACATTCCTTCAGCTCTGAAGAAATCAAGTTTGGTTTGTCTCTGGAAATGTAAAAGCTTGGTCCTTTGCAAGCATAAAAAATCATTATGTCAGAGAAACTCACACATTGAATCCCACTAACATATAATTTCATAGTGATCAAGAAATCCTCAATTATTTAACTCAAGGATTGTTATATCCCTCATTCTGAAGAAGCTATTCAATTTGACAAATTTAGCAACTTGGCCTTTTGGTGCTCTACTTAGCACACGAAGTAGTAGCTTTGGCCTTTAAGTATGCATATTTTAATAATGTTTTCCTAAGAACCAAAACTACATATGTAAGATTTGTCACGCATTTCAACTTCAAGGCTCTGTGTAGTCATGAACCCTTTTCTTTGTTGGCCTTTCTATGGTTCTGCCTATATTCAAAATAATCATTTGCCATAGCTTTCTTCTACAGCACTGGAGGCAGCAGTCCTGTCCAGCACTAATCCAAGAACTTAAATTTCTTCAGAACTGAATGAATGTGTCAGCCAAAGCGTGATGTGTTCTTAATGAAAGTTTCCCTCTTGTGTAGTCTCCTGTCACCGTTGTTGGGGATTGTGCCATTAGCTGTCTAAACTTTTGCCCTTCAAAGAGAGGTTTCCAGGACAGACCTACACAGTTAAAAGCACAGCTACGAATGATAGGGTAAAGGGAGTGGTATGATGCCAAAGTTGGAATGTTCCAGACATATGGAGAGGAAAGGCCTTAGAAGGAATTTAAGCAAGTAGCCCAGGCTAATGTTCTGAGGTCATGAGTTTAAATCCCACCATGGCAGCTGAAGGAACTAAAATTCAACTAATAAATCTGAAATTGAAAGCCAGTCTTTACATTGGTGATCATGAACTATCATCAATTGTTGCAAAAACCCATCTGATATTAAAGAAAGGCTGGATAGGCTAGGACATTTTTCATTAGAGTATAGGAGGTTGAGAGATGACCTTATAGAAGTTTATAAAATCATGTGGGGTATAGATAGGGTTAATGGTAGCTGTCTTTTCCTTAGTATGGGGGATTTCAAGACTAGGGGGCATATTTTTAAGGTGAGAGGAGAGATTTCAAAAAGACATGAGAGGCAAATGTTTTATACAGAAGATAGTTTGTGTGTGGAATGAACTTCCTGAGGAAGCAGTGGATGTGGGCACAGTTACAACATTTAAAAACTAAGTACATGAATAGGAAAGGTTTGGAGAGATATGGGCCAGGAGCAGGCAGGAGGGAGTAGCTTAGTTTGGGATTATGTTCAGCATGGACTGGTTGGACCGAAGCGTCTGTTTCCATGCTGAATGACCCTATGACTCTAATGTTCTTTAGGGAAGGAAATCTGCCATTATTAACTCGTCTGGCCTACATATGATTCCAGACCCACAATGAGGTGGCTGACCCTCAACTACCCTGAAATGGTCTTGCAAGCAATTAAGATGCACAACAAATGCTCACCATTTCAGCAGCACCCACATACCATCAAAGAATAAAACAAATTGAAATCGGAGGCATGGGGAATCAGAAAGCTTATGCAAGTCAGTTAGAGCAGCATTCATTGTTGAGCAGGACTTGGTCTAAGATTGGAAACAGATGGAGAATGGGATGCTGGTCGGGAGAACTTTATCATTTACTGATTCAGTATGATAAAGAATAGGATGAGATTTCAGTTATAGTTCATTTGAGACAGAGGCAGATAATGTAAAGAAGGTATAAGTTGACAGTATTTGTGGGTGCACATGGAATCAGACTTCCGTTCATGGTTGAATAGGCCACAGATACACAGCAGTCTGGTTCAATCTGAGACAATGCTTGAGGTGGAAACTACAGGAGGATATGGAATTTGTTGCAAGGGTTGAAAATAATGGCTTTGATCATCCAATCACTTAACTGCAATGATTATCATCTCGTCCGGGACCTGAAGTTGGACAAGCAATGTGATAACACAGAGGCAGTGAAGAAGGTGGTGGTGGAGAGGTACAGTTGAGAGACGTCACGATTGGACAATATGTAGGTCAAAGTTGTAATTTTGCATAAAAAGGGCATATATTTAATTCCATATATTTTGCTATTAAATAATACGCACATCAAGCATAAACTTTAGTAGTAACTTAGAAATAGAATTCAAAAACTTTGTATTATGAGAAATGATAAAGACCAGGGTATGTAAAATTCACCACTGGCAAGAATTCAGATTTTTGGATTAAAAATTGCTTACCTGTAGTGAACTGAGGTTTACTGGGTGGTTCTTGAACAGAGATAGGAAAGGTAGCAGAAGCAGGTGATGATTGCGCTCGGGAGAGTGGACGGTGCCCGCTGTATGATATTGGGATCCCTGCAGCTTCCATGGATGCTTGATAATTGCGAAGCTGATGAATACGTTGCTGTTCCAGGAGAAGCGCTTGCTGTACCACAAAGAAAAATAATCCAGTTAAATGTTCAAATAAATTAAGTAGGATCTTTCATTACCAGATTTTTTTTTTTTTTTTAAAATCACTCTCATAGATTGAGTCATGCTTTCTTATGACCAGGGGAAGTCTTCATTAGTCATGGTATCTAAGTAAGCTTTTATTACAGGATAACATACAGCAGAACAGGCATTATCCAAGGTCTTCATGGCACCTTCTCCCATCCATTGAAAGGTGCAAGAGAATTACACAATTGGACCTTGTTTTTGACTCACATGACAATTTATTTAACAATGGACAAGTGAACCAAGGTACAAAGCTCAGTCTTTTGAATTCAGTGCCCCATAGTACCCATAGTATCCATAATACCCCAGTGAGCACAAAACACTAGCCTAGCAGTTTTGTGACAGGATTTAACGAAGCAACTAGAACCTAAAACTGGATTAATGCTTTACTTTTGTCACAGGTATCAACACATTACTAGAGTTGTTCTTGTTAATGAAAATTTGGACAGGAATGTGAAAAGTAGCACACCAAAATTTTGAAACAAATATTGATGCTATCTCAATGAGTCAATTTATGCCAAAGAAAAGTCAATTAACCATGCTCCCATTCCCAATGTACACCTCATCTATACGCTGCCCTTCAGTGATAACATTGGGATACTGCATTAGTTTTCACATGGACGCTGGCAATACCCAGCTGAATGCACCACTACCTCTTAATTCCTCCACTGTTGCTAAATTATCTGGTTGTCAATCCAAAATCCAGTATTGGATGAGCAGAAACGTCCTCCAGTTAAGCATTGAAAAGTCTGAAGCCATTTTCTTCAGTACCTACCTCAAACTCCATTCCTTAGCTACTGATTCCTTGGGACACTTCATTATGTTACATTTGCTACCTTGAAGGTCCCACCTTCTCAACCTTGCCTGAGGTGCGGTGAAATCACTATCAGTTATCTCTCTCTAATGAGAAAGCAGCCCTATGGTCCTTTGGGACCTTGGTAACTTTACCTTTACCTTACATTCACTACGTAGATATAACTTACTGTTGCTGTAAATTTTTTTAAAAATCATATATGTTCACAACCATGAACATCCTACCTTCTCAAACTCATCCGAAATTCAACTGAAATCAGAAAAACTGGACTGAACTTTTGCGTGTGAAGAATCACCATTGTTAATGTACATGGAGACACATTCTAATGTAGTCTCCATGTTTAAATACATCATGTAATGTGATGCAGAGCCACACATTAAGAATGTATCTGCTTTGATTCATGATAACTGTTTAATTTGCTGTTCTCAGTTGTAGCAGTAACAGAATAGTATAATTGCCTTCATCATCACTATGTCAGAGAGTAAGGGAAAAAAAAAACGTGCCTGGGCCTAATTGCTATTCAGTCACTCACTAGAATGCATGTCGAACAACTTAGAACTAGATTTCATTGTCACATGTACTCAAGTACAGGGATACAGGAGTACAATGTTGTCAATCCTGGCACAAAATCTTAGGTACAAAGTAGAAAAATAAGCAAATACAGTTAGAAGTTCAACATTAAAATCCTTCTTAGTATAAAGTAGAAAAATAAAGAAATAAAATTAGAAGTACAACATTGCAATCCTTCTTAAGTGCTTAACCATGCTTGGCTTGCACACCCCACCAGGATTCGATCTCCTCTGTGCTGGGCTCGATATCGTCGGCACTGGGCCTGATCTCCCTGTGCTCATCGCCACCGTGGATGCTGGGAGGCATCGAGCTGGCTGCTCTTGCCGCTGCTGCAGATGCTGGGGGGCCTCTATTGCTGCCGTGCTGGGCTCAATCTCCCATGGTCTGGGCTCACTCTCTTCCATGTTGGGCTCACATTGTAGCCCGCCCCCACACTGCTCACTCTCCTCTGCATTGGGCTTGCTCTGTAGTTCTCTCCCACTCTGGCTCACTCTCCTCTGTATTGGGCTCACTCTCTCCCCCGTGCTGGCTCGATTGCTTCACACAAGGTAAGTAGGTGTCGAATGAGGAGAATGTTTGAATTTGGCAGTGATGACCCATACTTTGAAGTAATGGCCTGGCAATATTAACTATTTAGATTCATATCAAGAACAGTCATTGGGCTACATTCATAGAAACTGACGCTCTGCTCCAACTAGCCCAACGTTGACCAAGTATCCCAAACTAAACCAGCCCCACTTGCCTGCATATGGCCTATATCCCTCTAAACCTTTCCTATTCATGTACCTGTCCAAATGTCTTTTAAATGTTGCAACTGTACCTGCATCTACTACTTCCTCTGACACTTCATTCCACATTCGAACCACCCTGTATGTGGAAAAAGTTGCCCCTCAGGTCCCTTTTAAATCTTTCTCCTCTCACATTAAAAATTTGCCCCCTAGTTTTGAACACCCCCACCCTATGGAAAAGACTTTTGTTATTCACCTTATCTATGCCTCTCATGATTTTTATAAACTTACATAAAGTCACCTCTCAAACTCCTGTGAAAAAAGTCCCAGCCTATCCAGCCTCTCTTTAAAACTCAAACCCTTCAGTCCCGTCAATAAATATTTTCGGAGTCCTCTCAAATTTGGGTAGGCATTCAATTTGATTTTTTTTTAAATCACAAGGAAAACAGGGTGGAGTATAAAAATTGTGAATAAATGTAATGGACCATACTAATGGTTGAATGACATCATATGGCTTGGAATGCATAAAGACTGGATTCTGAGTTCAACCTTTGGTCCATACTGAAATAGTTGCTTTCAGTTGGCACAGTAATTCACTACACCAGCCACAATGTCTGAGGGATAAAGTGCCATGATTCTCACTCTCACACTGAGTGACCCTTTTGGAAACTGCTATTTTGTGTGAGGACAAATTCAGACTCATCAGATTCCTACCCCCTCACTGCTTCCATGAAACAACACTCAAAGCACATTGTTGTCAAACTATTCAATGTTTCACACAGCCATCTAGGTGAGACATTAAACATGGATTGTACTGATGAAATAATATTTTGTCATGATAGGTCGAGAAGGGATCACATTGAAGCTACACATGATACTAGGTATCTGCTGACGAAGAGTGATGGGAAATTTCATTAAAATATAAGTGAAATATTAAAATAATCTGTTTAGAATGCTGATGGATATGTGTGCAATGTAGATATGTGTTTGCTGAATTTATTTTTGTTAGATCTATACCATGATGCTGATCCATCAATACCGAGAATTCCAAATGCAGAAATCCACAAGTAATTCAATTATTATTTATAAGCAGTTAATGTGGAATTGTACTTCTGTGCGTATTCTGTCAGATTTGTTTGTGTACTGTTAGTATTCCTATACTTAGAATGTGGATGAAGATGAATCAACCTTACATTACATTTGAATTCTCCTGTAGGGGGCAGGATTGAGACAATATGAAGCAATGCTGGCAGGTTAAAAAAAACAATATTTGATGGGAAGCCTGAACAAAACTTTGAATAAAATTTAATAAAAGCAGGAACATAACCAAGACAAGTGATCTGTGTAAATCTGTATCTGAAACTTCATGCTCAAGGAACACAACAATGGACATTCAGCCCTTCAAGTCATATATCTTCTTTGCAGCTTTAATAAACAACTTTCAAGAGCCAGCAAAATTTTGAAATTGAAAATTATCAATTTAGTGTTTACCTTCCCTCATTAAGGTTCTTGACTGTAAGGACCTGCCTGTGATGTAATCCTGAGGCAGTTCCTCAGTCACAGTCCTAATTAGAAAATTTTAAATCTATATTTTTAAAGCACACCATCAATTCATTCTTTGCACCATATTAATTCTTAAATGGCTTAAGTATACAAACCCAATTGCTTTCCTCTTCATAATCCAATTCAAGGTAAATGTACATTTTATATAAAAAAAATCTGTCTTCACTTTAAATGCTTCAAACGTTGCCTGTCGATCTGTGCTGAGAACCTAAAGAAAACACCTGCTGAGCCTTTGAAGTAGACAGATTAATGGTCGTCTCCTGCATGCTTTGAACTGTGCATGGAGCAATTTGTAATCTAGCTGAACAGTGCTGCTCATCAGAGATAAAACAGACCTTTCCATTCCAGGGTTGAAGTCATGGTTTAGCTAGTTGCAGTTTAAAGAAAGGTCTTACCTTAACCAACATTTAGAAACAATTAAGTAAGAACTATACTGAAGTGTTACTACTCAAGATAATAACCAAGATCTTACACCCTTAAAACTCAGACGTGAACTGAGGGAAGTTTATTGTAAGTAGGATACCTCAGCTGTGTTGAAGAACACCAACATTTTAGATTATCAAAATGAAACATGCACATTAATTCCCTCCATTTTCAAACTCATTGATAAATATTCATTTTCAACAGCCCTTTGAATAAAAACTATTCGGAGATTTCTAGAGTCATTTTTAATCTATAAATTGTAATACAAAAAGGAGTGCAACGCTATAAGGCAAGACATATGGTGATAGTTTCTCCATGCACCCTCCATATAGTAACACGCAGATTTGGAGCTTTTTGCACCATCTAAGAGTTTAACAGTAACTGAATTCCAAAACATTGGAAATATTAAGTCAAAGTTATAATGTACTGTCAGCTAATTAAATCAAAAATAATAAAACTTTAGAAGATCCATTTCAACAATTTCAAATTTGTTATCACTATGTTAATTGAGAAAGTAGTCCATCTAAAAGCCTTTGATGTTCTTTCTTACTTTTCCTAAAATGAAGTGACTAGCAGTAGCAAAATAATATTCTCTGCATTAAATAGTCTTGACCTGCAAGAACAACAGTCTCTTGTAATTTAAACATGCATTTCTTTCCTTTCTTTGGCATTCTGAAATTCTATCCTGTTCCCTCTTACTCTCACAAAAGCTCCTTTTTTATTTCTTTGTACCTCAGGAAAAGGACTTGACAGACCTATCAAAGCTTCAAGACTTCTATTAAGAGACAGTTTTGTTTTCTGTACAAATTAATGACATCACCAACAAAGCAGCCA